ATATAGTCGAGAACCCGATAAATGTAATTCATTGTTTAAAATACTCCAGTGTAAACTCGGAGCTCTACAAAGTACAGTAAAAAATAAATACAAATATTAAAAATGTCCGGCATCTTGTTCAAAATATAAAAGACAAGATAAATGGTTAAAATGTTCTCAAACTATCAAATATCAATAATTTCATATGTAAAAATATCGTATTTTTACGTGTGTTCAGATACCACATTTCTCGGTGGTAGAAATCCTTGTAAAACACTGCAGTTATATAATAAAGCTCTTTATTTAACAAGCGAAGTAGAGGACAGCGATATACACAATATATATATGAGTCAGGACAAATTAGTTGCGTTTAGACTTAATCTGTCGTGCTTTTGTCTTTGTTAAGAGCCTGTCTGATAATATATTGAGATAAAAAGCATTTCGCAATAAGAGATTAACATTTAGACATCAAAGAACACATATTAAATCTACGGACCACTTTCTGTTGCAAAAGTTTTCGACATTGACTCTGATTCTTAACTTCTTTAACGATTTGTGGGTTAGTTATTTTACAAGCATGTTTCAAGTCATGAGTCAGTTTGAAAAAAACAGGAAAGTGCGAAAATGCCCTTCAGAAAGTTTTGATCATCGTTCATGTTAAATAATCTTTGCAAGGCTGACAGAGGTTGGCATGGGTCCCCCAGACTCAGTGCTTCTCAAGTGTAACGTACAGTAGTGTTCTTAGCCAGGCAGTGTTCTTAGCATGCTCAACTGTACGCTGATATGCTGGGAAGGTATGGTTAAGAACAAAACATATTCTGGCTTACTATTAATGATAATGAGCGACGTTTTAAGGCATTTCACTACGAAAAATTCAATAAGGCACTGCTTAGAGTTGATTTTAGTATTAAATAATACAAGATTTAAGAATATGTTTTGTAGTTTAATAGTGAAATCCTACTTTAATTTAAGTTTCCTTTTTTCTTTAAAGCTGTCAGAGGAAAACTCAGTAAAAGTTACAGATGTTGGCATATCTAAAGCAGCAGCAGACATTACTGGTACCGTCGCTGGAAGCCCTGCCTACACCGCACCAGAAGTGTCCCACTCTAAGGTGTATGATAGCAAAGCAGACATCTACAGTCTTGGTATGATGTTGTGGGAGATCTGGTACGGAAAGCAAGCGTTTTAAAAAACTGTATCCTTGAACCTTCACGATTTCTTCAGGGAGGTGGATAGCGGGTGTTGTCCAGAACATTTAAAAGATCACGTGGATCCTCCTCCTTGTTGGGAAGAACTTATGACGGATTGTTGGGAGGCGATGCCAGAGAAGCGTCCTTCAGCTAAGCAATGCCATGACCGAGTTTTAGATTTTTTTTGAGGACTGATAGAAATGACTTCAAAAGTTTTTGCTGTTGTAAATGATGCATAAAATCAAATTAAATAAAGTTAAAATAACAAGTACTACTAGCTAGAAAACCCGCTCAGAAAACTATTCTAAGCCACGTACTCCTCGAAAATCCAAGGCCGCTCTTTTATACACCAGGTGTGCATTGATGGCGAAATTAGATGATAAAATAGATAGGTGATAACAAGCTGTTTAAAACAAAAGACAAACGTTTGGAGCTTACAGAACTTAGTCAAATATGATTGTCGTTGTGCATGCTGTGTAAGATACACTTCTTTAATTAGGCATGTCCAGGGCGGGGTAATGTTGCATACAGCTAATACAAAAAGGATGACATCAGCAAAGCGCAGTAGGCAATACCGTGACCCATAGAAATATGGGATTATTAAAGGAACTCGAGTTTTGCATGTTAATAATTAAGCAGAACACAAATGCTCGAAAAGTGTTCATGATGCCAGCGCCAAGTTACGATCTTCGCTGGCGCGCCATTTTTCCAGAAGGTCAGATGCTGTTTGAGATCCTCTACGCTGGCCAAATGCGTATCTGCTCCCTCTTTTTATCGATCTGCTTATTAGCATCCTCAGTCTTATTACAATTTATTGCGGCTCCATTTGGCTTAATGCAATGTTTACATCATTGCACCCAAAGCTCTTTCGATCCCGGTATTACTTATTGCGTTTTGCAAAAGTCAGCTGCTTTAAAATATCTGTATACATTGACATGCAGGTCAAGGGATTTAAATCTGCGAGTGGGCGTACACGGTTAACCAACATGGAGAAGTACTTTAATTTAATGCGCTACAAGGTATTTTGAATAGTAATACTTATAGCTCTCTATGTTTGTCCTATATTAGCCATCTTAAGGATTTTAATTTAATTTTAATTTCAAAAACTTATAAGGCGCAAATATTTATATAAATATATTCAAATGCGCCATAGGGAAAAAAAACAAACAAACAAACAAAAACAAAACAAAACAATAATACTACTAATAATAAAAATTATGAATAATTATGATAGTAAAAATTGATAAAATAAGATGATAATGTAGATATAGAATAGAAAAACTAATGGCTAAAAGTTAAAAAGAAAAAATCTGTTAGCAAAATCTTAAAAATTATAAGGTGAAAATTATTTATAGTCTAGTAAGCTAAAAATACAATCTTATAATCTAAGTGGTACAAAATGCTTTTTTAAAAAGGTGAGTCTTCAACTTTCTCTTAAAAGTGTCAACTGAAATGGATTCCCTAATAAATCTTGGCACAGCATTCCATAGCTTAGGTGCAGCAAACAGAAAGGCCCGTTCACCGAGAGTTGCCTTGGGCTTAACATTCGGATAACTAAGTAGGGTACTGTCGCTAGAACTTCTTAAATTATAATTAGATACAGGCTTAGGAGTAATTAAAAATCTTAAGTATGAAGGTGCTAAGCCCTTATAAATATTAAAAACAATCAACAGGATTTTAAATTCAATTCTGAACTTTACAGGTAGCCAATGTAAATCTACTAATAAAGGAGTAATGTGGCAATATTTACTTTCATTGCATATTAATCTAGCACACATGTTCTGCACACGCTGTAGCTTATTGAGTTGATACTCCGGCAGGCCATATAAAAGACTGTTACAGTAATCGTCTCTGCTTGAAATAAAGGCATGAATCAGAGTCTTGGTGTTGTCTTCAGATAGAAATTTTCTTATGCGTCTCAGATTATACAAATAATAGAAGGCAGAGTTACATGTTTTTGAAATATGGATTGCCATCGTCAGCTTGGAATCAAACTACGAGCCCAAGTTCCTTGCAGACGACACAGGAGTGATAGTTGCAGTCCCAACACGATGGCTGTTAAGAGATACTTCAGCTAGTTGCTGCGATGTGCCAATGATCATGAATTTAGTTTTATCATCGTTCAGTTTCAATTTGTCGTTCAGCATCCAGTTACGAATGTCTTCAATACACCTTTCGACCCTTGCCAAGGCGGCCTCTTGATTAGCATTATCATTAGGACAGAATGATAAATAGAGTTGGCTATCGTCCGCATAGCAATGGATCTCTAAATTATGTTTGCCAACAATTTCAAATATCTTGCTAGCATAGACAACAAACAACAAAGGCCCTAGGCACGAACCTTGAGGTACGCCGCATTCCAAATCAAACTTCGATGAGACTGTGCCGTCGATTTAAACTTGCTGAGTTCTACCACTTAAATATGATGCAAACCAGGACAGTGCCGTATCCCGAACTCCAAATGCAGACCTAAGCCTCTCAAGTAAGATACCGTGATCAATAGTATCAAAAGCCGCGCTCAAATCCAACAGAACAAGCAAGGTGACATGCTGTCTGTTCATGTTTAATGAAATGTCATTTTTTACTTTCAAGAGAGAGGATTCCGTGCTGTGAAACTTACGATATGATGATTGCAGCAAGGGAAATAAATTATTCATGTTGATGTGGTGCTGAAGTTGTTTGGCTACTACACTCTCAGTCAGTTTGGAGATGAATTGCAAGTTGCTGACAGGTCGATAGTTTTTGAATATAGGTTCTAAGCCATCTTTCTTAAGTAGAGGAAAAACCAGGGCATTTTTCCACACTTATGGAAAGGCACCATGCTCGAGAGAGTAGTTGATGATCTTGGTAATTACAGGAAGAAGAATATCCACGCAATCGAGAACTAATTTTGTAGGAATCGGATCCAAGCAACAGGTCTTCTTATTGGATGCACGGATTAAGTCATGCACCTCCTCCTGGGATAACAAATTAAACTTGGAGATAGGGAGATCGATTTTGCAGTCAATGGAGTCAGTGGATCCAACTCTGCAGACTTGTGGTGGATGATTATCGAGATCGGAACGAATATTAGCAATCTTCCTAATGAAGAAGGCGCCCATCTCGTTAACGAGTTGCTGTTTGTCCTCATGCGGTGGCAAAACGGGAGTACTTGCAATGTTCAAGAGATTCTTGCTTACTTTGAAGAGATGTTTGAGATCATTACTATTATTGGAAATGAGATCACTGTAGTAGTCCTGCCGAGCCTTGTTCATTAGAAAGGTCACATAATTCCTACTTTTCTTGAACAGAATGAGGTCAGACTGACATCTCGTAGTTCTCCATTTTCTCTCTGCTTTCCTACGTTGACGTTTAGCTTTGATAATATCACTATTGATCCAAGGAACCTTGGGTCGAAATAGGACTTTCTTAGACATGATCGGAGCATGACGATCCAAAAGGAGGCGCAGTGTGTTGTTGTACAGATCAACAAGTTGTTCAGGATTAGCATCATTAAACAAATCAATACGAGCAATATCATCTTTGAATGAAGTCAGATCCAAAGATTTAAGTTTCCGGAAGCTGATGTGTTTCACTGTAGGCGATGGTCTGGGACAGAGAGAGACAGCACAACACAGAGCAATGATCAGAAATATACCTATCGGAGATAGGTCTTCCTTTAATAATATTATCAGAATTACAAGTAATTACCAAGTCCAAAATATGTCCTTGAATATGCGTGGGTGATCTAACATGTCGAGTAAGACACATCGATTCCAACAAGTCAGCAAATTTAGTAGCATCCACATCACCACTGACATCCAGATGGAAATTGAAATCGCCAGATATGCAAAGTGGAACTTTGGATGGCAATAACGAATCTAGGTAGTCACTGAATTCCAGAAAGAAGGTACTTGAAGTGGAATATTCAGTCAGTTATGACTTGCTATATATAACAGGAACAGAAAATTTAGAGAGGAATTACGTTTTCATATTTTTAGACGCTTTTGTACTAGAGACGAACGTTTTGATCATATACCAGGAATACACAAAACGTGCTGATTACAATTGTTGTTTTAGTCACTTTAACCTTAGAAACTCCATTCCTGACCCTGTCTGATTTCCATGTAAAATGTGAGTTTAGGATGCCTAAGCTAGTTTGAACTCCACTGCAAAAAAAGCTGTAAACGTTCGTCAGACTTCTGTACATGTGAGCCTTGTAAGCTTAATAAGTGAAATTGTCAACCACATTTATTTAGCAATAGATTCAGCATATCAAAGTGCGACCTTTGAACTTGGTCACAATTTTAACATAATGCAAACACGAGAAAAAGGATCTTGGTAATCTAAATGGCTGGCACAAGACACTAAAATCGAGCTCGTTTATTTTCACCCTATATAAGGTAACATAAGACTATTAGGACATGCATTGAAATCTCTATTAAGCGGACACCTTCGGGACCTTCCCAAGTGTCCGCTTAATAGCGGGTGTCCACTTAATAGAGGTTGTAGAAATTTCGCAATGTTTGTTAACGATCAACATTCAACGGTTACTCTCTACTGAGATAAAGTTGCATGTTGTTAAAGAAGCTATCCAGAGTTCAAGTTCATTACCCTGATAAGTAAACATTCAGTTAATTTTACTGTTTCGTTTATTGGAAAGACTCTTATGGCTGTCGAATCAGCAAGAGATCTAGGAGTATACATAGATTTACACCTGACCTATGACACTCATATCTCCCACTTAGTCTCTTCTTGCTTGACTAAACTGGTTCAGATCAACCGCGTGAAATATTGTTTTGATAGAAAGACTTTGGTTTTAATTATTACATCTCTTGTCTTTAGCAAACTGCTCTACTGTTCGACCGTGTGGTCTAATACCTCATCTAAGAACATCCAAAAGCTGCAACTTATTCAGAATTTCGCCTGCAAAATTATCTGCGGCGCTCGGAAATATGACCACGTGACGCCATTACTTGACGAACTCAACTGGCTTCCAGTTAGCAAGATGCTCAAATTCAGAGACGCTGTTATGGCTTATAAGTGTGCCAGCAATTTAGCTCCTGAATACCTATGTGCTAAGTTTAAAAAACGATCTTCTGTACATAATCGCATAACCCGTAATAATGAGAAGTTCGAAATCCCATTATTCAGGTCAGCCACTAGCCAACGTACCTTCGCCTATAGAGCAGTATCCCTGTGGAACACGTTAGACGAAGACCTTAGAAACGCTACAACTGT